CATGTTTGTGAACATGCATGGAGGGGCGGGGTGCACTCGCTCCATGCATGGGGGGGCAGAGCACCCCCTGCGCTCATGGGCAGGGGGCACTCGTGGAGGGGCATGCTTGGGTGCATGCATGAAGGGGCAGAGTATGCTAGCGGAGGGGCGAAGCGCACTCACAGAAGAGCAGGACGGGTTTGCACGCATGCGTGGAGGGACATGTTTGTGAACATGCATGGAGGGGCGGGGTGCACTCGCAGAGGGGAGGGGCACCTGTGTGTGCAGGTGGGGTGGGGTGGGAAGAGTGCATGTGGGGGAGGAGATCTGTCTCCGCTGCCTGGTACTGCCATGTCCATGGACCGGCACTGGGAGTTGGGGACCCTGTTCTAAACTATCCTCGATTCTTCTCAGTAGGCATGTGCCATTCCTTTTGTTGCTGTTGCTGCTGTTTAAATTCCCAGCATTTTTTTCAAGAAAACCCCAGGCAGAACAGTGGCAATTCCAGCTAACACACCCATGCCTACAGACCCTCCACATTTTGCTCATCTGGTGGCAAACCACTATTCTAGGTGGTTTACAATATTAAAGCACATAAAAACACCCAACCCCAAATATGATACAGAAACTCTTCCACAGCCTAACGGAAACTGCTTTTTCATAAGTCCATCTTTGGAGGAGAGGGTTTGTGTAAAGAGGCAAATACAAATGGGAAAATGTTTTGTTTTGTTTTTTTCCTCCTACAACTGTCAGAATACCAAAATCTCACAGCCATCTTGTCCAGGTACAGATAAACAAACACCCACTGTCAAACTAACTTCCTAATTGGCAAATATCTTAATTCTTCTTAAAAACCAGTCCATCAACTGCACAATTCACAAGCCTCAGGAGGTTTAAACAACACACAGACACACACACATTTTTTAATGAAGTAGAACCGGGGCAACAAAAATAACTAAGAGAAACAGTGCTACTGCTTTGGAGTACTTTGAGTCAGGAGGATTCCCTGTTGACCGTTTGGCTATCGTTGTGAAAAATAGGTTTCCATGTGATTATTTTAGTATTCATGCAGTGATAAGAAACATATCTGAGAAGACTGTGATTCTTCAGTACGGCATAGTACAATTAGATTGAAAATATCATATAAATTGCAACATGTATTAAATGTCAAAATACCTACTCTGAATTATGAATTGAAATGATATTATTTAAAAACATGTGCGAAAGGCATCTTCATAATTATATGTTATCAACACAGAGACAGATTAGCTTTTCTTTTAACATAATTAATTTTATGCACAATGCATTTGTTTGTGGTATTTGTCATTATTCATCAATATAATTATGAATTACTAAGAATTGTTTTCTAGAAATCTTTTTAGTTATTTTAATTGCCTGTTGATTTCTCTCTATATCCATCTTTCAGTCTTCTTGAGTAATTCACTGGGCACCACCCTGATGCCATACAATGCACTGTGTAGGTTTTGACATGGTTTTGGACCTCAGTGACCAAAATCTTGTTGCTTAGTGTAGTAAAACACACGGGTAGGCCCATCGAATCGTCTGGGAATTGATGAGTCAACTCCTCCCATAGATGCAAATAGGCCTACTCTAACTGCAACTCACTTGCCCAAGCCCAGTATGATGGTTGGAATGGTGGATCAGGATTTGGGAGATGCAGATTTATATCCTCACCAAATGATACTGGGTCGCAAGGGCCAATCATTCCTGAAACAGACCTACCTCGTGGGATTTTGTGTAGATAGACCAGAAAGATGGGAAGCCATAAATGCCACCTTTAGCTCACCAGAGGAAGAATAGAACAATTAAAAATGGATGGATGGATGGCCCTGATCTCCTTTAAGATATTAGCTGCCCCCAGATGAAAGTCCTGCATTGCCCTGACATTTCTGGCCAGTAATCACAGTTGACACTACTTGAAACCTGCAAGACATCCATCAGTGTTCACGTGTAGCCCTTTTGACTCTTAACCTCACAGAAAACAAGCGCCTACAGCATAGCAGGCAGCACAAAAATTCTGCCAAAGCAAAATTGGTACCATTATGACAAACATTAATCCCCAACTGGAGAAGAGAGGAATGACAACAGCTCTGGGAGTTGTATTTTAAAAAAAAGAAATACATGTCTAAGTTCTGGTTCTAGGTTTGTATTTCTCAGTACCCAGCGATGGATAGCTAAGACACACTGATACAGAGTAGTTGCTGGGGGGCACCGGATGATATACAGTAGTTGCTGGGGGGGGCACCGGATGGAGATGCTGAAGAGGAATAATCTCAGGACCAATACCTGGATATGGCCAAAAGTACTTTTATTCTTGGTCTTGGAGTGGAACAACCTTATTCTAAAGCCCCACAACACTTATCAGGATGCAGGGCTACCACTGCAAAACACCCTACATATAGCAGGACATAGACATCTCAAGGCACACACAGCATGGCAGATCAGGGGCAGTCCCTAAAAACTGTATGGATGAGGAACTCTCTGCTTGGTCAACGGGCAATCCGAGCCCTAGAGATAGATGTGCACAGTAGGAACACCCGTTTCTAAAGGGGACTGGTTCTAAACTGTCACCACCACCACCTCATGGATATAAAAAACCACGGATTATAGCGAGCCTTTTATGTAACATGGCCTTTGCCTCCCTATAGTGGCCAGTTCTGATAACCACATTGTGAAAATACAGTGGTGCCTCGCTTAATGGGCGCCCCGTTTAACGACGAATCCACATAGCGAAGATTTTGCGATCGCATTGCGATGTTCCCTATGGGGAAAAATCGCTTTGCGATTTTTCCCCATAGGCCCCATTTTCCCCGTGGGGGCTTTGGACCTTCCGAAGCTCCCACCAGTCAGCTGGGGGAAAATGCCAGCGGGCGCTGGGAAGGGCCAAGCGCCGGCCAGTCAGCCGGCCGAAAAAGAGTCATCGAAGCAACCAATATGAATTTTACACAACTCCGGGAGGCAGTGAAAAATAGGAGGGCCTGGCATGCTCTGGTGCATGGGGTCATGAAGAGTCGGACACGACTAAACAACAACAACAATGTACCCAATCAAATGTAAATTGTGGGGTAAATGGCCATCCTTGTTGCTCCCTGGTTTGAACTACATATGGGGCTTTTCTCAGCAAAAATATATGGCTGTGGAGTGTCCCTGCTGAATACTAAACAAAATATGTAGGCATGATTTGGTCTGGAGTGTGGCAACTAAGAGTCATTAGCTTTACAAAACAACTGCTCCTGGTGGAGATGAAAGTGTGAAAATGGAGTGATTGAGATGGGCCAGCAGAGATATCTATTTTCCGACACCGGTGTGAATCCTGCAGCTTCTTGCTCCTGAACTTGAGAAAGGAAAAAAAAAAACAGTCTTACTCTCTTCTCATTTCAGATTCCTCTGTTAAAGCTTCCATCCCCACCCTCAAAAAACCACACAGAAGATCTTGTAGGATTTCTCAGAAGGTTCATGATCATTCCCCCCCACACACACAAAAAAGGAATGTCAAGCTGCTCAGAACTGCTTGCAATTCCTGCTTGGAGTGGCATGTTTCCTGCACAAGATTCATTTGGAAAGGGTTTCATGCCTCCCCCAGCTGAGTCTTCTGGATAAGAGGAAGATGATGGAGGAAGCCAGTGCACAAGGGGAACTTGAAGGCTCAGCTGGCAGCACCCTCTCAAAAGTTCAGGAGAGGAAGACATTATAGTTACTCATGATCAGCCAAAATGGAAACACTTCCCTTCCTCCCTATATAAGCTTGTCTCAGCTTGGCCCGGGTCTCAAGATAGGACAACTTTGTTCAGCAGAGTGTTTTGAATCAGATACATTTCAGTCACCGTTGTGTACTGGGCACCACATCAGGTTACAACTAAGCAGATCTGAATTCAAATCCCTGCCTAGCCATGGAAGCTCACTGAGGGGCAGTAAGGGTAACTCCTTGGACACTTCACATGCCTCAAAAACCCCTATTAGAATCCAAAACTACTTGATGGCACAGAACATTTCCATTGCTAAACTTGTTTCTTGATTGCACTATTATTGTATTTAAGGTGTGATCACACAGTTCCCTGAAATTGGAAATGGGAAAGGACGGCCAGTGTAAGCACATCATAACCGCACCCAGACACCAAGCATTCTGAGAACGGGGGAGACTGAACTGATCCTGTAACATTTCCTTACTCTGTATTTTCCCCCCAGGATCTTACACTGTAAAGCCCTATTGATGACTGGGGCTGGTTGTAGGGATCACATAATCCACTGGCTGCTGACTTAAAGTGCTGGTTTTAACCTATAAAGCTATCTCAAAGACCGCATCGCCCATTATGAGCCGGCTCAGGTGTTAAGATCATCAGGAGAGGCTTTTCTCTCAGCCCCACCACTTTCACAGCTACATTTGGCGGTGTCACAGGAGAGGGCCTTCTGTGTTGCTGCTTCCAGTCTTTGGAACTCCCTCCCACCGGAGGCCAGGCTGGCCCCATCTTTGCTGTCCCTCCGCAAGGAGGCAAAGACCTTTCTCTTTAGGCAAGCCTTCCCTCAATAACCAGCTACCTGTGTGCGAGTTTTAGATAGCTTGCTATGCATTACTGTTTTGACTGGGTTTGTAGTACTGCTTGTTTTCCATTTCTCAGAGCGGATTTTCCTAACTGTACACTTAACCTTCTTAACTTTAATATTGCCTGTAAATGATGTTAAGATGCCTCTTTACTCATTTTTCATAGTTTTAAATATTGTCTTTTAATGATGTTAATCACCTTTGTTATACTCATTGTTTTCAACTTCAAATAATTGCCTTTGCTGCAAGACGCCTTATATCCTTTTGAAGGAGAAAGACTGTGCAAAAATATGCCTTTTTTTCTTTTCTTTTTGTGCTATGTACAGTCAATTCGTTTGGAAGGAACTCCGATAGCGGAGCGGGAACAACTCCCAACTAACTGCAGCCCGATTATTTCTCAGCAACCTTGCATAGATTTCCACAAAAGCCTTTTCTCCCTCCTCGTCACATTGTGGGCAAGGAGACATGCAATGGCTTCAGTAACCTCTACGGAGCATGCTCCGGCTCCACACATCCGACCCCGCCCTTTGAGCTGGAGGGGGGGGCGAGCAGAAAGCCTTTTCTATTTGCAAAGCTCCCGTATTATTCCTCCCCGTTGGCTTGGCTTGACTCTCCTGCAAAGATAGCCCGTCGTCCCGGCCGGTGCAACGCGGCGACGACGACGACGGAGCTACGATGATGATGAACCCGAGCACCGCCACGGCCAACCCCATGCAATGTAAGTGGCTGCTGCTCTTATCCCCGCTCCCGGGCCGGCGGGTTGGAGAAGGCGCCGGGAACTCGAGCTCGGGCCGGCCCCGAAAGCTGAGTAGCGGTAGAAGCGCGCGCGTATGCACGCGCTCGGCGAACCCGGGAATCTGGCTTGGAAAAGCGAACGCGGGCCCGGGAACCTGGGTGGAGGCGGGGGCAAAAAGCCGCGAAGGGATTGGGATGGGGTGGGGGAGAAGAGGTGCGCCGCGGGGAGGGTGGCGGCGGCGGC